GCAGCATCCTGTATGCTATGTCTCCCATTGTTTTGGATTTTTTTTTTTTTTTGGTTTGGTTTTTCAATACTTCGAGTTGCACCCATGGCTGTTACACTGAGCTCCATTCCCCGCCCTTCTTTTATTTTTTTTATTTTGAGACAGTTTCTCCCTAAATCACTAAGTTGCCCAGGCTGGTCTCAAAATTGCAATCCTCTTTTCTCTGCCTCCCTGGAGTGCTGGCATGAAGGGCACCCACCACCGTCTCCAGCTCCGCCTGTTCACATGACATCCTGAAGCCCAGCGTGAGCACCGGACACCTAATAGTTGTTCACTTAACCAATGCCAAATGAAAAGCCTTTGCTGAGCTACTCCATCAATGCCAGGCAAACAGGAACCTTTGTCCCCACCCTATGGGTGTAGTCCCATGAGGTCACAAGCATGTGGCAGTGAAGACCTGGGATTCTGAGGTCCTGACCTCCATACATTGATAACTGCTCTGGGCTTGAGTTGCCTCCTCTGTACGATGGGACTGGACCCGCAAGAGCGGTGCTGCAGGACGGATGTGGGGCGCCCAGGCAGGCTCCCGGGAGCACAGCAGCCGATGCAGCTATATATAACCCGGGGCCTCCTTTGTACTCCCACCGCCTCTGTCCTAGTTGCAGCCCTCATTACACTGGCCTGCGCTCGCGGCTGCCTCATCACTACCAATCTGTCCTTTCAGCTGTCAGGCTGTCTTCCCAACGCCAACCCTAATCACAGCCCTCCTCTGCTCCAAGACCTGACGTGACTCCCGCTGTCCACAGGACAGCACTGGCTTCTCAGCCCCACTCCAGTTCTGTGCCACCGCACACCACAGTGGGACAAGCAGCCTTCCCACCTCCTGCTGCAACCTCCCATCGCAGGCGTGGGCAGGTCAAGGCAAAAGTCATAGGATGAGAAGACGCTGAGAGAGCGCTGAGAATTTCTGACCGTGCCCCAGATTTGAGCTCTGTGGTGCTGCTGTCTGCACCTCTGTCCACTTCTTTCCCCTCCTGCCCCCTAAAACCCTAAGAGTTAGGTCCTTGCTGTCGCATCCCGTGTGACCTCCACACACCCCGTCCAAGGCTGCTCCCCTCCCCTGCAGTTTTCCAGCTTCCAGCCTGGCCTGCAGCCAGACTAGACTTAGGCACTGCCCAGCAATCACTCCCTACTCAGACCCCCTAGGGCTCTGCCTTTCCCTCCTGGGGACCCTCTGCACCAGCTGCCCTGTCACCCTGCCCTGACTCTGCTCACCCCAACTTCAAGCACCCGAGGCATGGTCCAGCCACAGGACCTTTGCGCTTGCCCCCCAGCTTTCCCCTGCCCTGCTTTCCATGTGGCCCATCTCTTGCTTTCCAGCAGGCTCTCGCCACATGCTCCTTTTAGCGTTTGCACAGAGCTGCGTGATCAGGGTGGAACCCATGTGGGTCAGATGTCTTGTGGGTCCCTGTCGGTGGCCCGCTGAGAGGACAGCACAGCAGGTTCTCCATTCCAGAGGGACAAACCAGCCAAGACCAAGGAATTCAGACAAAGCACTGCTTCTATGCTGAACATGCTGGATTCCTTCCGCGTCGTTCTCCCCTAACCAGCGCATTACGGGAGCTCATCACGCAGCATTTCCAGTGCACAGGTGTCTCCGGAGCTGGCTCGAACTGGAGACCATGAGTGCTCTATGCGTATGTTGTGCCATCTGTGTAGGGGTTCGAGCACTCGGGGCGGGCACCCTTGAGGGCCCCAGAGACAGCTCCCCAGGGGCACTAAGGGGCCGCTGTACTTTGGACAGATGAGGCTCAGTAAGCTGTCTCACTTGCATTTGCTTCACCTCTTTCTCTTTAGTTTTATTTTAATGTAGCTACTTGAAAGTTTAAAATCACGTTTACAGCTCTTCCTGGATTCCCAGGGAGAATCAGAACAGCTGGGTCATCCTAACTGCCGGGTGGGGAAGAGCAGGAACTTTTGTCTTGGGCCAAAATAGCTCAGCGAATTAGAGCGCATGCAAGCAGGCGCAGGGGCCGGGGGTTAGATCCCCAGGCCTGCCATGTCAGCCCCACCCCCGAGATGTGCTGAGACCAATTGAGACTGGGCGTGGTGGCACGCGCCTGTAATCCCAGCACTTGGGAGGCTGTAACAGGCATATCACTACGAATCTTGATCTAGTAGTGAGATCCTGAACACCCTGTGGACCCTTCCCTAAAATACAAAAAAAAAAAAAAAAAAAGAGAGAGAAAGGAACCTTTGTCTATATAAAGGTTGACGGTATCCCCTGACCCCACTGCATGTCACCAAGGGGCTCCTGCCCTGTCCCCAGTTGTCTTTCTCTTCCACACTCCTCCCTCAGACATGGGACTGCTCACTGGGGTTCCTGTCAGTCTCCCCCCAGACTTGGCCAGGACCTGGATGTGACCTCCCATGCTGTTGGTGTCAGTTCCTGTTTGTGAAGCAAATAAATAAAGGGCAACAGTGTGGACAGTGTGTTGTGCACACTCTGGCCAACAGCTTTTACATGCCAGGAAAGCTGAACGTGGGACCCGGGAGCAGGACTGCGCTGGGTGAGATGGAGTTGGAGGGCTTGCTTGTTGATGTCAGAGCGCTGGTGGGGGGAGACTGTGGCCAGCTGCGCAGCTGGGAGTCACAATGGACAAGCCACGAAAGCAGCCAGGTGGGCCACAACAGGTGCACAGGTGAAGAAAACGGGATAGGTGCAGAGCAGGTCGTTCTCAGCCATGAAGAGTGAAATACTAACATTGATAGGAGAATGACTGGAAGTAGAGTAAGACGAGCCAGACTCAGCAGGACAAGGATCGCATGTTTTTCCTCATAGGAGGGAGGCAGAGGGAGGAACAGGAAGGAGACTGAGAAGAAGGAGGGATAAGGGCAGGAGAGGGGAGAGGAAAGAACGAGGGCGTGCTGTGCATGCACACATGTGCCCAGGTGAAGCCCCTGGTGCATATAGCTCATAGGTGTTCGTCGAGAACAGCGCCAGCCAGTGTGGCCCTACTTCCTGTCACCCTCACAGCCCGAGTCCCCTCACGGCCCTGTCCAGTTGCATTTGCATGCACTTCCAACCTCAAGATGCCTGCTGTAACCCCTGTCCAGGCGTGGAAAGGGTCTTCCTCCCGGAACAAGTTCCTCTTGTCTGTGAGGTGTCAGCTTGAGGTGGGGCCTCCCGAGCCCCGGGCTGTGAGCATGGCCTGCCTTGTACTCAAAGCTGCCTTGTTGGGCGAGGTGGCACACACCTGTGATTGTAGGATTCTGGGAGGCTGAGGCTGGAGGATCACAAGTTAGCGACTTGGCAAGACCTTGACCCCAAATAAAAAGTTTAAAAAAGGAACTGCAGTTGTAGCTCAATGCAGAAAGCCTGGGACGGAAGTGGGGGGGGGTTCTTTCCCCTTGAGAATACATCCCATCTTCAGCAGATTCATTCCTCATGTGCACGTTCTTTTAAACATTTATGCATGACCATGACAGTCGTGTGGCACTGCACTCAGCGCCCAGGGCTGCTCAGACACACGGTTGGTGGTGGGAGACAGGGCCGTCCAAGCTGCTAGGCCCGTTTGTGCTGCAGGAATAATCCTGACAGGAGGATTGGGAGTGGCCCTCGTTGTCTGGGATCACCCAGAATATCCCTGAAACAGAGTCGGCGGCACAGTCCCTCAGCAGACAATCCCAGGAGATGCTGGTGAGAGAGGAAAGGCGAGGCGGGGAGTTAGGGCAAGTTACACCCAAGCAGATGAGCTCAGGCTCCTGGGAGCCCAGCATGCATGTAGAGCTCACCCCCAAGAACTGCACACTGAGGGCCACGAGGCACCACCCTCATGAGTCTCAGTCATGGGCTGCTCCTGCTCCTGCTGTCCCCCAGACCAGGCTCTGGGGAGAAGCCCTGAAGCTCACAGCTGTGAACACTGGCCGGCCACGGCCGCAGTGCCATGAGGCCCAGCTCCCGGCCTCACTGAAAATGCTCCCAGAGGCGCTCGTGTGCCACTACAGAGCCTTCTGCTTTGTTGCTCTTCGCACTGCCCCCTGGATGCTACCACGGGAGACCCTTCCCCTGCCGTCTGCCTCCACCACTCTCTGCCTACCACCGAGCTCTGAGATGGATGGGAAGTAGATGTTGGGAGAGCCCTTGCCCCCTGGAAGCTGTTGGACAGACCAGGCCTGGTCTTCTGGGGGAAGGACGGTTACCACAGGAGGCCCTCTCACCTTGTGGTATCACTCTGTCTGTCTGTCTGTCTGAGACAGGGTCTTGCTGAGTTACCCAGGCAGGCCTTGAACTTGACCATCCTCCCGCCTTAGCCTCCTGAGTGCTGAGTGACAGGTTTGTGCTACCACATGAGGGTGCATTGATTCTTACTCATTGTGTCTATGAAACTGACTCTTTCTGACCCAAAGCTTGGGGTCTGCAGCCCTACCTCAAGCCAGCTGGTCCTTGGCATGATTGGTTTTGTCATTTATCCCTGAGTAGTGGACACCCTGCTTGTGCGCCTGGCACAGGACATTCAAACAACGTCACAGGCAGTGACCCTGAGAGAAGCCTTTGAGTTGTCCGTGCTGTTGATATCACAGAAGGGGAAACAGGTGTGGAGCTGTGCGGTGACGTCACCAGGGTCACCCAGCGGGGAGGAGCAGAGCTGGGATTTGAACTGTTAGCACTGAACTGCCATCCTGCAGGTAGACAAGAGCCTCCCAAGGCCTGATCCATCCTGACCTTGACGCCCACTGGATGTCACCCAGCCACTCAGCCCAGGGACTCTGGCGTCCCTGTCTCTGCAGTATTGAAGAGCGTCCATCAGTCACACATCTGCTGAGTCTCTCGATCACTTTCTCTCCCGTGCATCAGGAGCTGGGAAGGCCACACAGTGGGTGACCAGACAGAGGCCCAGAGTCATTGAGTCACCTGCCTGTGGTCACTCAGTCAGGAAAGGACACCGTGGGACTCTCGCGCTTCTCTGTACCACCCTGACAACCAACGTCTGTCTCCCATTCTGCCCCTTCTCTTCCAGCATCTTGGCGACAGTTGGGACGGAGTTTGACCTGCGGACGCTGAGAGCGGTACGGGTGCTGCGGCCACTCAAGCTGGTGTCAGGAATTCCAAGTGCGTGAGTTTCCACCAACCCCATGTGGGCTTTGCTCGAGGGTCTCCTCTGCAGGCCCCAGCCTGTGGCAAGGCACCCTCTTCTTTGGGGATGGTCCCTGAGGTCCACCAGGAACCTGGCTGCAGGGCTAGGTGAGGTCCTGAGAGTACCACAGGAGGCACCCCGTTTAGCCAGTACTGCTTTTCATGGGACGGAGTCCACAGCCCACCATACCCCATGTAGCACCCCCCAACCTGGGAGGTAGCTCCTCATGCTGACAGCTCCATTTTATAAAGGGAAAATCCAAGGCACAGAGTGGCTGGAAATTTGTAGCAGGGTTGAACTGCCCACAAGTGGCGAAAGGCAAGGCCTGGCAGTGCATGCCTGTCGTCCCAGTACTCGGGGGCCTGAGGCAGGAGGATCCCCATGAGTTTAAGGCCATCTTGAACTACATAGTAAGACCCTGTCTCAAAACAGTCAAAAAAAACAGAAACACAGTCTTGGCAAAGCAACTGTATCCATACTGAGCACATACAGACTTCCCCTCCTGTTATTCCCTAAACAACATAATATCAGAGCTGTGCACCTGGAGCCTACATTCTCTTAGGTGCTCCGAGCCATCTAGAGAGGAGTAAAGACTACAGGAGGAGGTGCACAGGCCTTGGGCACATCCTGGGGCATTTCATATAAAGGACTTGAGCATCTGCGGATTTGCTTCCCAGGAGGAGGGTGCTGGGACCGCTGTCCCGCAGGTCCCAAGGGACAGCTGGATACAGGACAGCGGTCACACTAATAGGACTTGACCTCATTCCAAAGGGAGTTGAAAGTCTCATTCCATCTCCTTGCAGCTTGCAACAAAGAAAAAAGCATCTACTTTTATGAGCCTTTCTTGAGTTTTAGAACAGTTGACTTTTGGAGCAGAGTGAGAACTTCAGTGTGGTCAAACAAAAGCCCTTCTCTCCCCAAAGACCCTGAAGCTCTGTGGCTCAGCCACTGCCTGGTGGGGATGCACCATATGTGGTGTGGGGGGTGCTGGGTGCTGAACAGGGTTAGGATTCAGGGTTTGTCTGGGCTCCCTGGCCTCACCGGTGACCAAACTCCCCCTAAGCAGACCTTCCCACCACGACAGCCCTTTGGCTTCTCGTTCACCACCATCTTTGCTCAAAACAAAGAAATCACCATCCTCAGCTGGGACAACATTAGGCTTCAGGTCAAGAGGAATAGAGTTCAAATCCTGCCCTTTAGCTGGGAACAGTAACACAGGCCTACAATCCCAGCACTGGGGAGGGTGAGGCAGGAGGGTCGAGTTTGTTGCAGCAAGTTCAAGGCCACCCTGGACTACACAGCGACACTCTATCTCAAAAAACAAAAACAAGGGCTAACCAGATAGCTCAGAAGACTAAAGCACCTGCTTAGGCACAATGCAGTGGCTGGGTTTGATCCCCGGTGTGCCATGCTGCCGCCCCCCCCCCCTCGGCCCCCCGGGGCACACTGAGAGGGCAATTGAGACTGGGCGTGGTGGTGCATACCTGTAATCTCAGCATTTGGGAAGCTGAAAGTAAGAGAACCACTATGTGTCTGATCTATGTAGTGAGACCCTATAGACTCTGTACTAAAAATAAATAAGAAAATAAAAACATCTTGGGCCTTGCTATTGTTTGGGTTCTGGGCAAAACCGGGCCCTTCCTGAGCCTTGTTTTCAGCTTCTGCAGCCACAGCTTCCTCTGTGTGGATAGCTGGGACCTCAGCTGACGCCCTCTGCAGGCTGCAGCCAAGTCCGAGGGTATCTGCTGGAATTAGAAAAAGATGTGCCCACCAACCAAAGAAAATAAATAGTAAATGGCGCCCCCTGCTGGGTATAAGTGGCCCAGCACTTTGAAAATTGGTTCCAAAGCCCTGGATCAAAGGGAGCAGCATCCAACTACCTTTCTAAAATACTTTAAAATTAAGAGGCCTGTACCAGCTGCAGGTGCAGCTCAGAGTACTGCACCTGCCTTGCCTGCATGAGGTCCCAAGTTTGACCCCTCCAACACCACAAATGAATAAATGAATGAATGAATGAATGAATGAACAAACGAATGAAAAGGTCTTGTTAAAAACTAAGAATGACTGTCCTTTTGTTATAAGAACCAACCTCTGAGGAGCCCTCCCTCCCATCACCCTTTCTCCCTGTTGCCCCAGCCCCCCCCCCCCCAGAAGGCACCTCGGTAGTGAGGTTTGGGGCACTCCTCACGAGGGCATGGCCTCTCCCCTCTCCTCTCTGTCTGTGTCTCTCTAGGTTTACAAGTCGTCCTGAAGTCAATCATGAAGGCGATGATCCCTCTGCTGCAGATCGGCCTCCTCCTATTTTTTGCAATCCTTATTTTTGCAATCATAGGGTTAGAATTTTATATGGGAAAATTTCATACCACCTGCTTTGAAGAGGGGACAGGTAGGTCGAAGCAGCATGATGTATCTTTTTTCATTGTCCTCCCCCTGGGGAACATGGGCCTGGGAGTCACAAGCCGGGGCTGGCTTAGTCCTCTTGGCATGCAGAATTTGCTCTGGGATGCTGCCCAGGGGTGGCACACAAGGCTGGCAGGCACAAGGGAAAATAAAATTCTTTAGCCAAGCCTGGTGGCACACACCTGTGATCGAGAGGCTGAGGCAAGAGAATCTCCAAGTTCAGGGCCAGCCTGAGTACACAGCAAGACCCTATGTCAAAAAAAAAAAAAAAAAATTAACAAAAAACCTCTAGGAAAAGCAGCAAGTTGCATTGTGCCCCAGATCTTGGCAGTTGTTACAGTGTTGAGTAGGGGGGTCTCTCTCTCTCTCTCTCTCTCTCTCTCTCTCTCTCTCTCTCTCTCTTTCTCTTTCGCATGCCCAGGGAGCAAGTGTTAGTTGGAAATGAGCCAAGTGTTGGAAGGATGGGGTGGGGGGTGAGAGAGCAAGGCAGGCACACAGAGGTGACAGTGCAAGACAGTGAGGTGCCACCTGTGACTTTGATGTGCCCACTCTTGGGTCCCAGCTCTCAGGAGGGCTGAGCAGGCATCCGAGGTGTCTCAGGCAATGCAGGGGCCAGGCAATTAGCATGGGATGGAGACAGGGCTCCTTCTGGGGAACCTCAGCTTGTCCTGAAGAGAGACGGGCTCTGGCCTGCTGCTTGTGGGTGGTGCTGGCTTGCCTGTAACTGAGCAGACACAATAGGGACCTTCCTGGTAGCCTGCAGGATGGGCCTACAGGCCTCTGCATGGCCTGGACCAGCCAATCAGAAACAGCTTCCTGCAGGGCTGGGCCAGCAGAAGGCGCCTGAGCCAGCAGTTAGAAGGTCCAACGTGCCCGCTGTCCATGCTTGGGGCCGCACCTCTCATGGATGTCTTGCTGGGCAGGGTGGTGGGCACATGCCTGTCCTCCCAGCTACCCTGTGGGAGGCTGAGGTGGAAGGACCTGAAGTCTGAGGCCAGCCTGGACAACTTGGAGGAACCCTGTCTCAAAATAAAAAAACAAAAAGGGCTGGGGGTATAGCCCAATGCACAGGCCAGGTTCAATCCAAGCACCAATTTTTAAAAAAATACCACAAAGTCCTGTCTCCCTACGGCCAGAGAAGGAAACCCTATGGGTAAGGTGTATTCCAGAAGGCTGGGCATTGGTCCTTTTTTCCCTTTCTTCCTTCTTTCTGTCTCTTCTTCGGCTCCTCCCTTCTCCTCTCCTGGGCCTGTGACGTTTGCTCAATATGGTATGTCCTAATTATTTCTTTTCCCAATGAAGAAGGTGTTAATTGAGGCAGATCTATTCCTGCACCTGGGCTCATCACCCAGACGGGAATGAGGGAGAGAGAAAGAGAGAGAGAGAGAGAGAGAGAGAGAGAGAGAGAGAGAGAGAGAGAGAGAGCCAGGCACTGACCCTCAGAAAGATCAGCCTCAAGTGGAAAAACCAGGACTTCTGGATTGTAGCCTTCTGTGAAGTTTTCCTGATTTGTTTTTCTATCTAAGATTCTCGGCAGGAGAAGGCCATGCTGGCCTGGGTCTGAATAGGGTTGCGGGGCTAGACGGGGGCGTTGTCAGTGGAGGGTAGGAAGCCTCGATTTAGGATGGCTGAGGCACTCACAATTAAAAATACAAGACGTGTGAGTAAGAGACAGATATATACAGACACCCCGGCAGCAGGTTAATTTTAAAATGTATTTATAACCAAATTCCTCTGCCTTTCTGGATGGCTTCTAGAAGCCACCTCGGGAGCACTTGTGCTGCGGGGCTGGGAGCGGGGGGCTGCGCCAGGCGTCAGCCAAGAACACCGCTGGGCCACTTGGCTAAAGATAGCTCGGTTCACAGCTTTGCTCCTCACGTCGGGCCTGTTCCTGTGCGCCCGATGCCATCCTAAACAGCCGAGCAACGCCAAGACAAGTAGGAAGCTTCCTGTTCTCTAGGAGCTTCCAGCCCTGGAGGAAGGAGACCCCCCTGCCTTCCTGGCAGCTGTCTGGAATCCAAGCCCTGTCCCCACACAGCATCAAGAGGCTCGGGGTACCTGGGCCACACGGGACGGCTGCACAGGTGCAGGGAACAGAGCCCTGCCAGACCAGGCAGACCCTGAGGGTCCAGACAAAGCAGCCTGCGGCCAGCGGCGTCAAAGCAGGAGCATGGGTCACTTCGTGCCCTGCTCTGAGCCCCGTATTTGCACTGTTTGCTTCCTGCCTGTGTGTTGGGGGAAGCCCACCGTCAGCAGGGAAGGCGCCCCCCACAGCTTACACCGGTGGGAGGCCGGCTGGGGGGCCTCAGACCAGCAAGGCTTCTCCCTGCGGTTGGAGCTGAGCCTCCCTCTGCCGGGGTAGCAGCCAAGGTTGAACCCTGGCAGCGGAAGTCTGTCGCACAGACATTGAGTGTGGTCTTGATGAGGAGGAAGCTTGATTTTAATGTCCAGCTGCTTGTTTTCTTGTTGGACAGGTCACTCTTGTTTTTGGCTTTTCTTTTTTAAACCTTCTAAAGTGTCCCAGGCCGTGTCATGGCATAGACCCATCATCCCCACTCTGTGGGAGGCTGAGGCAGGAGGATGGGAAATTAGAGCTCAGCCTGGGCAACTCTGATGACTTAGGGAGACCCTGCTCCCCAAATAATAAAAATAAAAGCCGGGGCTGTAGTGCAGCTGAAAAGCCCTGGGTTCAACTCTCTCTACTAGCAAAGAGGGAGGAGGATCAAAGGAAGGAGGGAGAAAAAGGAAAGAAAGAAAAGAAAAAGGAGGTCGTTCACCGCGAGAGGTCCTCTGGCAGACTGGCGGCTGAGCAGGACCCCCACCCCCTGGCCTGGGAGCTGACCTTTCATGCCCAGCCCGGCTGCTGCCTCTCCAGGAAGCTGGCTTTGGCTTCCAGTGAAAGGGGCGTCCACTGGCACGTTCCTCTCTCCTCTGGCATTTGCACAATCTGCCTCCTTCTGTTTGAGAAGACTCAGCTCCTGCTCCTGAGCCTTGGGTGACGGTAGGGACCATGTGTGCTACTGGTCCCCGCCCCACCCCCGGGACAGCTCCCCGCGCCTTGAATCATGAAGCGGCTGGCCGGGAGGCTGGAAGAGAACCAGCAGCTCAGCAGGCGAGCGTGCCCCGGCCAGCGACGCCTCGCGCTCAAGGACCACAGCGCGCGCCTGCGCATTCACTGACGCTGGCCGCACCGCGGACCCCAGCTCCTCTCCTCCAAGTTCAAAGCACAGAAAATGTAAACGCGTGTTTCTGATCACGATCCAAGGAGGCTGGCATAAGGGACAGAAAGGAGGCTTAGAGCGTCAGCAAGTTAAGAGCCATGGCACTTGGGTGTGGATGAAGTGATTTGTTCTCAACGATTAAAAAATTGTAATGAAACTGGATGCCAGCAGACTCAGTAGTGGGGGAGGCTGAGGCAGGAGGATTGCAAGTTAGTGATTCAGCAAGACTGTGTCTCAAAAAAAAAATTGTAGTTGGTGAGGCAAAGCGTGCAAAAGGGAAATGAATGAAATAAAATTGGGTCTGAGGGACTGGGGAGATAGCTCAGCTGTCTAAGCACCTGCCTGGCAAGTGCAAGGACCTGGGTTCAGTGCCTGGTACCACATGCCTTACGAACCCAGCACTAAGCCAGCCACCGAAATTAGGGGTGGTGTTGTACACCTATAATCCCAGCACAGGGGAGGTTGAGACAGAAGGTTGAGACAACAGGGTAGTGAGACCCTGTCCATAAATTTTAAAAAACATAAAAAAGATTGTATCGGGCCAGAGAAATGGCTCAGTATAATAAGTGCTTCCCAGGCAAGCGCAAGGGCCTGAATTCAATCCTCGGTTCTAAAAAAAAAAAGGATTGGGTCCAGTTTGCTAAGTGCTGAAGTTGGTGAAAGGGCCACAGGAATTTGTCGCTCTTCATTTCCTTCCACACCTTGCATATATGACATGTTTCTTAAAAGAGACATTCCTTAATGACTCACAGGTCAGGGGCAGGAATTTTTAGCTCAGCGGCACAGCACCTGCCTGGCCAGTGTGAGGTCCTGAGGGATTACCAGCACTCCCCCTGCCCAAAACAAAAGAAATTACTTGCAGATCAAAGAAGCAATAGTCATGGAAATTGGAAACTATTTTAACAAAAATGGTAATGATACAGCTACAACTACACTCAAAGGGCAATTCATAGCCTTAAAAGTAATCTATCTCAGCAGTTTAAGAAAAAGAACTGCAAAATAAATGCACAGGAAATAAAAAGAGATGAGTCTTCAAGCCTGGGGAGAAATGAAGTAGAAACAATGTGTAGGTCCACAAAAGCAGACACTGCTCATTCAAAACAAGAAACAGGAGAGTCAAACACTGCAAGTTTGAGGCTGGCCTGGGCTGCATAGTGAGAGCCTGTCTCAAATAAGTAAATAATTTTTCTTAAGAAAGCTGGATAACCTGATGCCAGTCATCTTTTCCCACCAGCCTTAGGTCCCCACAGGGCCCTACTTCTTGGTTGGTTCTGCTGACTTCTCTCCCTTCCCCTTTCATAGATGATATCCAGGGTGAGTCCCCGGCTCCATGCGGGACAGAGGAACCCGCCCGCACCTGTCCCAATGGGACCAAATGCCAGCCGTACTGGGAAGGGCCCAACAACGGGATCACTCAGTTCGACAACATCCTGTTCGCCGTGCTGACTGTCTTTCAGTGCATCACCATGGAAGGCTGGACCGATCTCCTCTACAATGTGAGTGTCGCTGCGTGGCGCAGGGACACCAGGAGGTGGCCCTGGGGAAGTGGCTGGGACTCTCCAGAATGAGGAGCTCTGGGGTGAGGAGGGCCAGGCTTGCCGCGGGATTGCTCACTGTGCAAACTACATGCTGTGTACGTGCCTGTGTCATCAGATTTATTTCACTTAGCATTGTGGTCTCATGACGCATCCGTTTCCGTCCAGATGACCCAAGCCTATCCTTCTGTGTGGCAGAGTCGTACTCCATTGTGTATAAGCACCACGTTTCTTCCTCCATTCATCCAGTGATGGCCACATGGGCTGCTTCCCAGATTGACCTATTGTGCGTCATGCTGCCATAAACACAGGTGTGCGTGGAGCGCTATATGACGACCTTAACTTTTTCCAGGAAGAAAGAACAGAGCTGTACAGCAGGGTCAAGTGGAATTTCTTTAGTTTTGGAGGAATCTGCATACTGAGTTCTATAGTGACTGTACCAGCTGACATTCCCAATGACACTGTACAAAGCGTCCCAGCAAATCAAAACACGGGCACTGCCCGTTGGTCCAGAAAGCATGACCACCGCTGGAAACTCAAAAGCCAGGAAAGGCTGGCACCACAGTGGTGTGGGGAAGCATTTGCAATTCTGCTAGGTGTTTAGGGGTGTAGGTTCCAGACCCCTTTGCCTCTGCATCGCACCCCCTCACAGACTTCCTCTCTGCACTTGCTCTCGCGCTGAAAGCAGTCCAGGTTGGCCCCTTTGGCCATGGTGTGTGCTCTGGGGGAGCACTGCCTGGCTTCCTTGGGCTCAAGCAGGGGCTGAGTTCTCCTTCAGGTCTCAGAGCGCGTTCTCTAAGGGTGTTCCTTCCTCATGAGAACCCACCCTTTTGACTAGTGGCCCATTTTAGGGCGCAGCTTAGGGGTAAGCAGCAAAGAAAACCCCACTGTGAACAGTGGTGCACGTCAGGCCCTGCACAAGTCACTCCACCTCAAGAGCATAAGGAGGGAATAATGGTGTCCTGAGGGTAGCCTGGGCGAAGGGTTACACCCCATTGACCAAAGCCTGCTCTGGCCTCCCCAAGTGCAAAATGGGGAGAGGCACAGGCCCGGCCCGGGGGTGGCGCGGGGTCAGCCCCTCTCCCACCTGGAAGTGCCCCTGTCAGAAACTGAAATTTTGATTGCCATGACCTGAGGGTGTCACTTGCTTCCCGACCCAACCCCGCCAGCAGCCACCACTGACCCAGTGTGGACTTCCAGGACATCCCAGGCCCTCGTGTCCCAGTGTTGTCCTTCGGGCAGGAGCCCAGATGGTGATTTTGATGTCATGAAACTCTAAGGCAGAACTTCTCACCCAGGACTGTTTTTGCCCTACTGGGGGGCAGCCAGCCTTGTCTGCAGCTTGTTTTGTTTTGTTTTGCAGTACTGGAGATTGATCTCAGGGTCTTCACACTGATCTATAGCTCTGGCTATTTTTAAAATGTTTCATTTTGAGACAGGGAGGACTCAAGCTGGGCTCAGTCTTGTGATCCTTATGCCTCCCTTTCCCAGAGTGCTGGAAGAGGTGTGCCTCTCCGCTTGGGTCAACTGCATAATTCTTAGGTCCTCATTCCTAAGGTGAGGAGACAGACACTACTGCCACCTAGTGGGTGGAGGCCAAGGGTGCGGCTCCTGCAACAGCCTCTGCCTGCATGGGGAGACTGCTTTGTTCCACTCAAAGACTTGCACAGGAGAACCCAGGGGCTCTTGGAGGTACAGGTTCTCCCTTGTATCCGCACCCTGTTTGTGCTCATGGGGCCAGGGACAGCCCCACCGCTGCCCGAAAGGCTGGGGAATCAGCTCCCTAGGAGCTGTGCCCTGTGTTTCCAGGGACACCAGGATTCACCCTCCATGGGTGGAACTTGCTCACTGTCACACCTCTGCTTGCTACCTTCCTCCTGCTTGGGGTTTCTTGAGGTCACTATTATGTTCATCTCCAGGGACTGGTGTAATGGGTGCCACAACCCAGGGGCCTTAGAACGACAGAAATGTGGCTGAGTGTGGTGATATTTAGCTGTCATCCCAGCCACTCAGGAGGCTGAGGCAGGAGGATTGCAAGTTGGGCAACTTAGCAATTTAAAAGACCCTATCCAAAAAAAAAAAAAAAAAAAAAAAAAAAAAGACCCTATCTCAAAATTAAAATAAAAATTTAAAGGCTGGGATTAGAGCTCCGTGTGAAGATCCTCAGTTCAATCTCGAGTACTGGAGGGGGCAAAAAAAGAGATTAAAATGCCCATCTTCTTAGGAAAAACTCAGACACATAAAGATACTAATAAATGACACCAGAACGTGGGCGCCGGGCAGTGAGCAGATGTGTGGTGTGGGATGAAGCAGCTCTGGAGGACATGGATGGGTGGTGGTGCGATTCTAGGTCAGACATCACAGAGGGCATCAGAGGCAGTGACATTTGAGTAGAGAAAGTGGGAGCCGGGCAGATGTTGGGGGGAAAACGTTTCCACCCCAGGATGGTGGCAGCTCCTCCACACGGCTGCTTGGTCCCCTTCCAGGTTTTCAATTTGTTTCTTCCCTTCCTCTCTTGGCTTCCTGTTAAAATGCCTTTTGAAGAAATCCTGGTCCCGACTCATCGGCGGTGGCACTGTCGAAGGTTTAAATCAGGATGTGTATCCTGGGGTTATTTATAAAACTGGAACAAAACTGGAAGCAACGAATAGCCTGGCAATAAGGAAATGGTTAAACAATGCACGTGCCTCCCCCACCCCCACCCCACCCCATCCCCACCCCCACCTGAGAGGACATTGTGGCATCATTAAAAGTCATCTGTTGGGAGAGTGTTAAGGACGCAGGGACACATTCACCTCATAAGGAGGAGGGAGATTAATTTTAAAAAAGGAGAGCCAGCCAGATAGCAGACTAAAGCGCCCAGGTGCAGGGACCGCGGGGCGCACTGAGAGGGTGACTGAGATTGGGTGTGGTGGCGCACGCGTGGTATCCCAGCACTTGGGAGGCTGAAAACTAGAGGATCACAAGTCTAATCTACATAGTGAGACCCTGTAGACCCTGTACTAAAATATAAAAATAAAAATAAAAGGAATTGAGGCAATTTAAACCTTATGATCAAAAGTACATAAACATGCAGATACAAGTAAACCAATACCTGGAAGACCCTCTACCCAGGTAGTAGCCCCCGGGGGGTGGGATTTGGGAACCTTTTATTCTCTGTACTTCTGTCTTTTCAAGTTTTTCTACGATGAGCGTGATTTATTTCTTTGCTTTGTTTTGCTATTCAGTTTTGTTTGTTTTTGAAAGTTTTCTGGGGCCAAGGAGATGGCTCAGTGGAATAAGCACTTCCCTGGCAAGCAAAAGGGCCTGAGTTCAATCCCCAGTTCTGCCAAAGAAAGAAACAAAGGGAAGTTCTCCTACATAACCTACAATGGCCTTGAATTTATTATGATCCTCCTGCCTCAGTCTACCAAGTGCTGGAATTACAGGCATGCACCACAATAATAACAATGTTATTACTCTTACTATTATTATTATTATTTGTTGGATACAGGGGTCTCACTACACAGTTCAGACTCGTGATGATCCTTCTGTCTCAGCCTCCCCAGAGCAGGGATTACAGGCGTGCGCCACCCTGCCTAGTTTCGAGGCAGGCATGGTGCACCCGGGATTCTGGGTCTGGCACAACATGTGGTACCGAGGATTGAACTCGGTCCTTGTGCTTGCCGGGCAGGCTGTTAGACCACTGGGCTGTCTATCCAGCTCCATTTTACTTTTACAATATAGAAAATGTTTAAACTTCTCTTGCAAGCCTTGAGGTGTAAAAAATGGAGATTTTGTGTTATTCCTAAATGGGAAAACAAAGGGGGGGAACCACCTTTTGGGCACCCAGCATTCTGGACAATAGCATCTTACATAACCTATCTGAACAGCCCACAGTGGAGTAAGTTAATCACTGATACATTGATATGGCAATAATAAATACCATTTTTATTATAAAATACACACAATAAAAGATGGAACAAACCTCCCTTATGCAAGAAGTCATGCAAGTGTGTGTATATATATATATATATATATATATATCATATGTATGTGTATATATGTATAAAACCACTCCATATTTGTCACTTTTCTTCTTCTTATATAGCAAAATACTCGATAGAAGTTACTTACGGTGGAAAAGGAGGCATCTTTAGTTCAGTGGGAGGCTCCAGGGCACGACATCTGCACAGGCTCAGCTCCGGTGAGGGCCCTGTAGTGAATGGCACAGGGGAGCCAGTGCGAGAGCCAGGGGTCACATCCCCATCCGAGGAGCAGTGACATTGCCCCTTAGCTCAGCTCTTTAAGTGGCTGCTTCAACAAAGCAGTCAGGCTCAGGTTGCTGTGGTTCGATCCCCACAACTCAAGCCAGCCAAACCTGTCCTGAAGGCATTCGGAGAAAAAAAAAAAAAATCCGAGGAGCAGTGACAGGGAGGCTCAGGCTGGCTCTCTGGTGTCCCCTCTGAGGCCACGCCCCCTCGGCATGAGCTCCTTCCCTCTTAAGGGTCCCATCGTCTTCCAATACCAACCCCCTGATGACCAAGCCTATAACTGCATGGGCCTTTTGGGAACCCCAAAACCATATCCAAACCACAGCACGTGCACACACACACACTCTAGCTCTTCAAAGAGATGGAACCTAGTCTTCCCTCCTTGTTGCCTGGGCTTAGGGTCTGAAAAGGTCTTACAAAGAATAGAATAAGGAGGGCTGGCCAGATTGTTCAGCAGATTAAAGCACCTGCTTAGGCAGATGCAGGGGCCGGGGGTTCGATCCCTGGACCTGCCATTCCAGCCCTGCCCCCGGGATGTGCTGAGATGGTGATTGAGACTGGGAATGGTAGCGTGCACCTGTAATACCACCACTTGGGAGGCTGTAAACAGGAGGATCACTACAGTTCTACGTAGTGAGACCCTGTAGACCCTGTACTAAATACACTTAAAGAAAAAGAATAGACTAGAATAAGGAAAAGGGGAAAGTG